CAACATCCAGAGCAGCCCAGCCTCATCGATTTTGTAGCCAGAATACTCGACCATTACGCTTTCGCGTTAGCTGAAAAAAGCGTTTTATTTTTTTTTCTCATTTTATTCCAAACACTTCGCTTATCGCACTTCGCATCAATGCATTTTTCAAAAAAAAAAAAAATCAAACATTAATAGTTTTTTATTTTACTCGTCCAGATCCAAAAATTATCTACTTAAGAACATTCCTCTTCATCAGTTTTTTTCTGGTTCTTCTACGGAGTCCAGGTTCGAATTTTCAGTGTTTTTTTTTTTTTAAATAATGATTCAAATCCGACGCAGCATCGGTCAAAGTAAGAAATAACCCGCAGTAAGAGGATAAAACTGAACGAAGAAGTGGAATGAGCCGTCCTCTAGGCAATCGTGTGTTGATGTGCCTGCATACAGCAAATTAAAATTGAATCAATGAAGAGCGATAGGCCGTCTGCGCGTCTACGAATTTTTGCAGTAGCATGTTGCCACTGTCCAACCAAAATATGCACGGCATTTCGTCATTTGCCTTTAAGCAGTCCAGCGCATAAGAAGCACTACGACTAATTTTTGAAGCACTACGACTAATTTCTGACCCACTGTGCGCTTTAGAAGACATACAATAATTGCGAAATTTCTTTAATGAACGCGTGTCTACGTGAAAATAAATCGTCCAAACTTGCAGAAGAAAGAGCATGTATTGTCTCAGCGGATATGAAATTCGAAAATTAGCCTCTTGAAACTATGAAGAGATGTACCTACTTGGGGCCACGAACACAGAGATACAGTGATTTGAACGCGGAGCAAAGCAGAAGAAAAATGTAAGAATGAATGATTTTTTTCAGTTACGAAACACCTTTTCCAGCAATAACAGCACAACGTAGTTTATGATTGCTACACACGATGCTTTTTTTGCCTTACCGGTTGGTGCATACACCTGAAACAGGATGCCAGATTTGCAAATTAGACGTTAACACTGGTCCAACAAGCCACTGATGCAGTGCACCTCAAAAAGAACCGGACTTGTTATCTGGCGACGATTAAGTATAACAGACGGTCACAGCGGAATGATGAATGGACCTGTTACTTGTTCAGCTAATACTGGACACACATCTAGCGAGATGGGAGAGAATACCTTGCGTGGAGCAAAGTGGATGTAGCAGAACTTGAACAAAGCAGAATGGAGACATTAACAGCTGGACGACTGACGAAAAAGAGTGGGACGAGTGACGAAATCTGACTGTAAGCATTTTTGAAATATCAAAAGAAAGCAACATTCGAACGAAACATGCCGAAATTTAACTGACAGCACACCGGAGCAAGAGACCGTTGCATA